AAATGCGTAAAAGTCAATTAAGTCTATCTATCTCATTGCACAGGATGGAAAATTGCGCGGCAAATAACTTATTACAATTTTTATAAAAAAATACAATATAATTAAACATTATATAAAAGCAAAATCTTAAAATTCAATCATTGCCTCAAAAAAACAACCACCCTCCGACAAAGTATATAATCTTTCCAATAATAAAAATAAAAACGGGAAAAAATTATATTCACATCACACGACGTAATTTTGTATTCGTAACGATAAATCAAATCAAATTCACTATCAAAATATCAATCATTTCTTTTTCTTACTTTTTTTTAATTTGCTATTGTCGCAGATAAACAAGAAAACCATGTGCGAGTCGGACTCGCTCACGAAGGGTTTCTTACCGTTGTATATAAACAACGCGAAATATCACATTTGTTGTATGGAGGTCCTCCCTTAGTATTTATTTTATTCCGTTTTTAGTATTATGTGGTAAAAGCGGCAACAGAAATACATCTGTAAAAATGTCAACTTTCATGACGGTTTATGAGTTAAAGCCTGGTGGCAGACGGACGGACAGCGGAGTTTTAGTAAATAATATGGTCCCGTTATTTTTTTAAAATTATTTATTGTGAACACATTACTACTTATGATAAAGCTATAGGTATTAACTATTCACTGAAGTGGATAACCTACTTATAATTTGTTCACTTCTATTAAAATAAACATAAAAATGTCAAGTGAAGATGAGTCTGCTGTAGACTATTTATTATTGTTTGTATAAGACGGGTATTAACGCGATAGATTGCGATAGTTAGGTTCTTCACCTATCTAAATTTCCCGACGTTTCGACCAGGTTACCCGTGGTCACGGGCTGACTCTGCACGGGCACGACCCATCTTATATAATCTAGTAGGTATAATGCAACGCGAAGGTTAAAAGTTTATATTTATTCTTGTTCATTTTATATTCTGATGGAAAGTGACTTTTTATTTTCATTAAGTCATTTTGCAATCATGATATCTCTGTATGAAATAAAACAGGAAGGGAAATAGCAGCCCTTGCTGAGCTACTTGTTGATTCTTCACGGTGCAAGGTCTCCTCTTCCGCCCTAGATTTACAAACCGATGGTCCGATGGCATCGAGTTTCGACTATATATATATATTTAACATAATAGCTGAATTAAATAAAGGTCGTGTTCACCACTCAAAGGGATTCGAAAATATCAGAATACGTAGATTTGGAGCCAGGGTCTTTAGCAGTTAACCCGGAACTTTACCTACTACGTATTAACAATGACAGTCAAACCGACTGTCTGTAACATGCCACTTGGAAGTTTTGAATTCCTCCTTGATATGTTTTATTTATGACATTTTCTTTACCAAACGTTCTGTCAGTAACGTGTGAAGGTTGTATTCGTAACAAAAACCACAAATACTTAATAAATAAAAAAATCTCACTAATAATGTTGATCTAAGCACTAATAGGTGTTATAAGGTATTATAAATGCGAAAGTAATTGTCTCTGTCATGATTTCATGCTTAAACGGCTGAACTTTTTTAGATGACAATTGGTATAAAGATAGTATTGATGTGTTCGTCGGCTTTCGTAAGTCCGTATAGGATATTTTTTTTATTGTTTAATGTTAATAAGCATTAAAGTTCAAAACAACATATTTTTAGAATGTCAATTGGAGATTGATGAAAGCTCGGGAAAAAGGTATACATTACTTACATACTAATAGCAATATTAATTTAACACAGACAAAATCGCAGACAAAGTTAGTATAATATAAATATAGCTATTTACATAATGGTTAAATAAAATAGCCTTGTCGGTTTATGAGATTCGATTAGGTTGCTCCAAACATAAAAGGCCCGTCTTGGAATCCGGAAATACCAATGGAAATTATAATTGAATACGTTCGTTCAATTATTTTCCTTTGAATTAAAAAATAATGTTTAAATTATGAATTTCATTAGTTTATTTTCAAAACACAATAATCATGTACGTATCATTTAAATATACACAATTTTCAGGCAAACAGTACCTATAGGGGTTTCTTTTGTCATTGGCAAAAAAAAAAAGTCGGTAGTTGGTAACATTATTATTTTTTGTTTTGAATTTTTTTTGGTGTTTCACAAAAAAAATCCTATAATAGACGATTTCTGTGAGATCATTTCATTCATCGATAAACCAATGAGAGTTATAGTCATAACCAACCAATGAAAATGAGCTACTAAAATCGTTCGCACTCCGCAAGCGGGTCTTATCAACTATTGTAAATAAGCCATTAGCAAAAATTCTAGTCATCGATATGATTCAGTATCAAACTGTCCTATGACTATTTTAAAAATTTTCATTGCCATGTTATCTGTGGGCATTAGACAACATTATAACAATATATTACATTATATTACTCAGTTCCAAATATGAATAGCCAAAACACTAGTATCAAAGTTTATTTTCTACATTGACCCGACCGAGAAACAAACCTGAGCTTTAGGAGATGATGACATCTTAGAACCGGCGTGGATTTTAAGGGTATAAAGAGTAGGTAGGTAAATGTATCTATTTGTTGTTTTTTCTAGTTACCAAAGTGTAGAATGCTTGTTTTGTTTGTTAGCTTTTAATGAAAGAAGATATTGTAACGAACAAAAAAAGGAAATTCACAAAAGCTGCAAATAGCAACAATATACTTTAAAAACTGCAGGTAATATTTGCTTGTGTATTGTTATCCTGTCCATTCATTTTTTTTTACTCGACACCTTTCTTTATCTATCTTCTAACGCATTTTTAAAAATAGAAACATTAAAAAACATCATTTCATTATTTATAATTTAAATTTTAAGCTTTTAAAGCAAACTTTGCTAAGTTCGATTTTGTGGTATAGTCTATAACTATTTGCTAGTTTTAATTACTAAGTAAGTAGTCAAATAATGAAGATAATATAAACTATACCGCTTTTAACAATTTCATCGTTAAAAAGGGGGTTAAGGGGTTGAAATAGGTATAAGTTTGTATGGAAGTCCGTTCTGTAAAGATAAAACCACGTAATTTTCTATTTCGAATCTTGTGACAAATAAATATTTATTTTTGCGATTTTGGAATGCCCATACTAGGTAAAACTACCTCACGGACAACATCACGGGCAAAGTTAGTACAAAGGTAGACTGAATATTTTGGGCATTTTCTGCCAGTAACTTATGGGTGATATGGAGAGTAAATTTAATGAATGTGCATAACTAAAATAGCACTTTGACAAAAAAAAAAACAAAATAATTATAGTATGTCTGATTTTGTTGCCGTTTGGCAGCGCTAGTAGCAACAGTCGGCGTTATTGTGATTGTGTAGGACAAATGTAAAACGTTAGAGCACCCGAAATAAAGTTCATAGTGTAAACGAAAAATCGACTAAATCAATTGAGAAATAGATCTGCAAAAACAGATGGAAAATGTTTTCTAAAAGATTGTTAATTAACTCGTTCGTGATTTATCTACAATAAGCATTTACACAATTAATTAATATATTCATCAAAGTAATTTTATACAGAAACTAATAATAATATGATAGCTAATGCGACCAGTGACCACCAATGTAATCAGCACCATCTATATTTAACTTTAGTTGTCACTTACCATTTGAGGCTTAAAATTAAGCTTGTTACGTTGTACGATTTTTGATAAGCGTTTTTTAAAACTGCTTATTGGTTCAACGCTTTTTTTTCAACCGACGTTTAGAAATCGTTATAATTAACGTGCAACGTTATGTTGTAGTTATTTATGTGTTAATAAATATTAGTTTGTTTTCTATAAAAAGTGATGTACACCATTTTAATACAAGATATAAAAATAAATTAACGGTGCCTGTCACTAGAGTGCAAAAAGTTAATAACTTATTCAGGGGTCTTCGTGTGCGCTTCTACAATGAAGTCCCAAGCTAAGTACAATAATTAGATATCATGCAGTTTAAATTTACTATTAAAAAAATACTTATTAAAAAAGCTTATTTTAAGGTATCCGATTATATAACAGATAGGAATGCTTGAACTTGAGATAATCTAGCAACTGGATAGATGATTACTTCTTAACTCATTATACATATATCAAAAATTATCTTGCTTCCATTATTATTAAATGATTATGTTATTATTATAAGACCATAGTTTTATTCTCTCTATTCATAATGTATTGATCTGGTTATGACATGGTTTTTGTAAATGTCATTACTCCTATTAGAGCTGGTGAGTTTCTTGCTCGTGCTTCTTATAAGCCAAAAGATGTCCTGAACGAGTGATAGGGAAAAAAATGTTGGACGATTCAAAAGTACTTTTAAGAAGTCTATTTGAATAAAGATTATTTCGACTTTGACTATGAAAGTAACTTGCTTAGACTAAAATAAATAAAATTTAAACAATAAATATTTTTTCAAAGCTAACGAGCTACAAATCCAAATAAAACGAAATTGTTGTAAGTAAACAAAATATTGATAACATCTATTTTTTTGTACTTTATTTCTATCAATGAATTTTCATTCGTGCTTAATTACGACAGTCTAGAATCAATATAATAAAGTTTAAATTTACGCGATGAATTAGCTTTCAACACAACATACACCTACTCTGACAACGAAAAACGTACTGCATTTTTTTTAAGTTCCGTTTTTTGGATTAAAACGTTTGGATTAACCAGCCAAAAATTGTTGCAAAAAGTCTAAATGGATATTACGCGTAATAGTATAATACAGTGCATTTATGTTAAGTGCTGCCCTCCAATAGAAAAATGACAACAGAAAAATTGATTGAAGCTAGTAGTTACATCATAACTTGATAGATGGAGGGACATATAATAAGTATTAGCATACTTTTCTTCTAAGTGAAAAAGCGCTTTAAAACTTATTTAGAAAAGCTTGCTTAATTAAGTGCGTTTCGTTTAAATGTTCATCTCTACATTTGAGAAAACAGTCGATTCTAAAAATATAATTTTAAAATTCCTAAACTAAAATGTAACTTGCCATTAGAAACTAAAGAAAAAGACATTTATTGTTTTTTCTACACTTGCGACACTTTATTTATAATTGTCAAATTGATCTGTCAAAATGGCACGTCAGCAACAGGACGTTGATGAACTTTTTGATGTGAAAAATGCATTTTATATCGGTAATTACCAACAAGCTATCAATGAGGCACTCAGTTTTAATGTAAGTTACCAAACTACATTAATAATCAATATGCAAATTGTCTAAAGGCGGTGGTCTATCGAGTTTTTGTGAAGATGTAACTGCTTCGCATCTTGCTTCGCATCTTTGTTTCATTATTTCTTCTAAGAAAACGAATAAATCTGTTTTAGGTTTAGAAAGTTATACTTCAGTGTCTATGAAAAGTGATTATTATGTTAGACTATCATTATTTGCAGGCATCTACACCCTTGTTGGCACTCCAAAAGGATGCCTACTTATACCGCTCGTATATCGCCCAAGGCAACCACAGACTAGTTTTGCAGGAGTTGAAAACTGCAGATCCTATGCTGCAGCCACTCAAAAGTCTTGTGGAGTATATATCTCCAGGTGCCAACAAACCGGCTATTGTTGCAGATATTGATGCCAGGGTGAGTTGATTTTTTTTGTTTAACCAAACTCTGTGTATTTAGTTACTTGGAGTGGATAAAATATAAAGAAATACTAACAATATTATTAATTTAAGTATCATGAGGTAGTAATTTATATATTTTTTAAATCCGTTTCAGGTTGCAAAGGGCACTGAACTTAATAATGAAGTATTTTTGATAGTAGCCGCCACTATCTACTATCATGAAGAAAACTATGAAGCGGCTCTCAAGTAAGACTGATATTTGTATTGCTTATAATAAATTTACCACATCTGAACACATAATTCCCATATTTATGTTTATATAATTACCTTGTAAATACATATTTTAATTGTGTAACATACAGTACAGTACTTTTACAGAACTGTTAGTTGCAATATTCACAATTGAAACACTTGTTTTAAATTCTGATTATTAAACTTCTAAATATATTTATTGCATTATTCTAACTTATTTCTAATTAAAAAGTTTATGGTGAGATATGTTCTGATGTTGATATATATTTTAGGTTGCTTTTTAGTAGATTTCTATCATTGTTTCTTTCCTTTCAAATCCAAATTTACATGTATTTTATTTTTAAATAGAAAAACCTTCTAGTATAAAAATATTAGTGATTCAATTCAATAAAATTATACATTTCAAAAAAGATTATAATTACTTTTTTTGAAATGTATAATTTTACTTGATTAATTTTGGATTCATAATGTTTTATTTATATTTACATTATACTAACATGGAAAAGGTATTAAAAATCACTGAACTTCAACCACTGATCACATATCTATTGACAAGTATGATATAACTATATTTTGTAAAAAAAAAAGTATGTTACACTCATTGTAGTTTGATAAATATGAAGAAAAATGTAATTTATGTGTTATTTTTTATTATCAGGATTCTCCATGGAGCGGAGTCTCTTGAGCTTCGTGCATTCACACTGCAATGCCTTCTGGCTATGAATCGACCAGATTTGGCAAAGAAGCATTTGAAATCATTGCAAGACATTGAGGATGACGGTACTCTGACACAACTTGCTCAGGCTTGGTTAAACTTGTCACAGGTGATCGAATAATCTGTAATTGAATACTATATTAGTTAATCTCCATAAGTATAGGAAAATAGTTTTATATATGACTCATGAGAATTACTTGTATAGTATCTTTAATTGTTTAAAAATTATTTTTACAATCACTTCATATGAAAGTTGAGCATTCACATTCTTGTTTATTGGTTTGAGATATTAATAAAAATGTAATCAATGTCCGAAAAAGTGTTTCATAATGATGAAGAAATCCATATATTTATTGATATACCATAAATCACACTCAAATACACTTACAATAACTCTTACCATTTGATGTCATGGGCAGTGTCTCAAGAACTAAAACTAATAAATGAAAAGAGTAGATATAGATATGTATTCTCTATGGCAGAGCATAAGCTCTGCAACCAGTATCATACTATTAGCAGATATTGTATAATAGTATGATACTGGTTGCAGATACACAGAAAAAAAAAATCATGATGGCATGTAAAAAACCGTTACCAATTATTTTTATTATATTAGCTAATATTTGTTTGTTTAGGGTGGACCAGGAGTGCAGGACGCACACTATAGTGTGATGGAGTTATCAGAACGGCTGGGTGCGCTAGGCGCGGGGCCTGCTGCACTTGGTGCCGCCGCGGCCGCCGCCCGCGGTGTGTACTCACCTTACATATTTATTTGATACCAACAGCGTTATAAATACTTTTTTCATACATAGAACACAATTATATAGTGAGGCTAATGCCAGGTATCATATACTTATTTTGCAAAATCATTATTATTGGGCAATCCACAGCATATTAAGTTATACAAATGTGTAAAATTTCGTCACTTGATTTTAAACCTTAATGCTTTTAAGTACAGTTTAAAATCAACTAGAGAAATTTGACATAATATGTCCACAATATTATTGTGGTAACCAGACATGCATCCATGTGTACTATAAAGTCTATTCCTGTCGGAGCTGTTAAAACAGAAAACAATACTAATAGTTATTAATTGAATGCAGTTGCTAAGAATCAGTGAGCAAATTGAGTTGAATTCATACGCAGGAGAAGTTACTTTATAAATTTCATATGACAATAAATATCTTAGCAAAATAAAACCAAATTAATTAATTTTAGAGACATTAAAACATGTAATGTCAGAGATGGATTTATTGACAGCCCAAGGACATGTACCTTTTTCGCTGTTCTAATTTAGGCATTGAATATGAATTTACTTTCTTGACAATATTTATTGAAATAGATTCAATTTAGTTGTGTTCCTTACTCGATTTAAAAATATTTCCTATTACTAACATCTGTTGCTCATGTAAGTGTATAATAGAATATTGTTGTCAAACTATAGAATTACATTGTATCTGACAAAATAACATCTGATAAAAATATCTCGGAATGTATATGGAGCTGTTTAAATTTCCATTTTTATTTCGACAAAGTAATATTATTTTAAGAGTTTGTCATGAATAAACAAATATACGTGATATTTTATAATATTACTAGCCGCCCCTAATAACGGGTCGTTCTAGGCCCGTATCTACTGTGTTTTAGGGTAAGTTTGCCACTAGAACGCTAATATTAAATTTGAAATATTATTATTGCCTTATTTGTTGGGTAGGTATGTGGGAGGAAGCAGAACAGCAGCTATCCGAGGCGGCGTCCCGAGCTCCTCAACACCCAGACCTGCTGCTGGGACTCGCTCTCGCTGCCAGGCACCAGGGCAAACCAGAGGTCATTACTAACCATTCATTATAATATTATAAATGCGAAAGTAACTCTGCTGTATGTGTGTTGGTTACATTATCACAGCAGTGGGAACATTAATAGACTGGTAATAGCTAAAAACAACGACGGTAACGGTCAGCACTGAGACAACATAGCAAAGTTAATTTTTCTAAATATAGCAATATGGGAATCAAATGAAAGATACATTTGAAAATCATATAAATAAATAAATGTTCATTAAAAGGGCTAAATTATAAAATAAAAACACAATTGCCGAATCGAACTGCAATGAGATTTTTGTTTAACCAAGCCATAATACCTACAAGTATTATGGCTTGGTTAAACAAAAATGGCTTGGTTAAAAAAAACTGCAATGAGATTTTTGTTTAACCAAGCCATAATACCTACAAGTATTATGGCTTGGTTAAACAAAAATCTCATTGCAGTTCGATTCGGCAATTGTGGTTTTCTATTATTTTATTTTTGGCCGTCGTGTTTCTTAATTATTTATTTTATAGATTATTGTGTAACCTGTAAAATAACACTAAAAATGTTTTTATTTATATATTTTTCAGTGCTTTAATACTATATCTGTTAAAAAAAATATATTGTTGTTCTTTAAAATGGTAACCGATACTGAGTAATGACATATAGTACTTATATTTACAGGTGTTCGGAAGATACTTGGCTCAATTGCTGGATAGCAATACAGAACATCAATTCACGAAGGATTATGTCGCGAAGACGAACGAGTTCAAACGGCTCGCAGCCCAGTACCAACCGTCAGTAGCAAGTTAAACTTTAACGCTCTGGAGTCCATTTTCTTATGTTACACGTATTAAAGATTATTATTATATTATACTGGTATTAAATATATTTGCTTTTGATTTGTTTCGTGTAGTTAAGCTACATAACAGAGTGTTGGTTTATGATAGAGTTCACACTACATGACATACAAAACTGTCAAGTTTTTTCACTTGATTTGAAACCTTAATGCATTAAGGGTCGTGCACAAATTCAGCTGAGGAAGTTTAACATATTGTGGCAATCTGACGTGCTAATTTGAGCGTTTAGTTTTCTGTTGACAACTTTGCTTGAGAACCTGTAGCGCCATCTGTTGTGCAAGGCCCACGATAACAATCACGTATAACTTCACACACACATCGGGTTACGTGGCATTATTATTCTGAGCGTGGAACCAATCGACGACGTCCTGCATCGCGTTACACGTTTTATGAAGCTTATTATATAAAAAATTCAAAATTCCTACGCTTTCTCGTTAGTGGAGCGCCACCAATCATTCATTTGTTCATATCAAAGTAGTAAAATGATACGAAATATCGACATAGTTAAGATGCCATGTCTAATGGCTAGAGGGTTAGGTGGTCGCGCTCCAGGCGCTACCACGGAGTGTGGGCGAACTAAATACCATTATTTTACAGTAGCTGTAGCTGTAAGTGTTAATTGGAGTGTTCGCCATGAAAATAAAAGTGTTCCATGTCCTAGTGTCATGTATTCAATATAAAGCATAATCTATGTCTCCATCGTCATCGTCATCCGGTGGTTCGTCCCCGGGGCTGGTTGTATTCACTAGTATGTAGAACTCGCGAAGTTTAGCATCCATCGCGCTCATGTCCTGCAAATAGGGAAAATTAAGTTCATTTAAATGGTTACTAAACAAAATTGAACTAATGTTAAAAGTTGGCTTCTCTGAGTACGTTAGTAGACGTCAGATAAGTATCAAATGTTCAGAAAGCGTACTCTGGTTCGTCTAAAACGAAATATCGTTTATTTTCGAAACGACAAATTGGCTTGAATATGGCAGATGCACAGATAATCTTCATAGACATGATTCTAACAAAATTGTAAAAGCATTTCGAAATTTACCGACTTTTCGTCCGTCAGAACACAGGTCACACAGGAACAGGTCAGAGATGATGACGACAATATCTTGTTGTTTGGAGTGTTTTGTGTAAAAGTAATATGTATAAGTGTGTATCGCTTGTATATAGATCACATGAATTTTTTAATACTTGTGTGAGTTGTGGTAGTTCCGGCGGCTCAGTCTCTCCCTTCATCAACATCCAGTCAGTTGTAGCCTCTGAGTGCACCAAGTCTCCAGTTTTTCCTGAAAACGATATGTTTTTGGTACCTTTGAGACTTTATAAACGTGACATACTATACTTAATTATTCATGGGGGACAAGATATCACTGATCGCAATTTTCAATTTTTATTTACACCCGGTTTCTGAAATGAGTATTTAAATTTAAGCACGTCTCAAACTGTACCTACACGCTACTTAAACAGATATTCGATTCTGATTTTAGTTTTTTAATGTAATGAATTATGTTTTTTAATGATCAGTTGGTAGCAGTTTGTTCAAAACTAGGAGATTTTGCCTTGTGAAAAGTAAAAAACTTGAGTTATTGAGAACAATTAGTTGAGATTTTTTAATTTTCTCAATTCAGATAGCGGCCGTCAGCCTTATAAAACGCTCTCAAATGCGCTCAAGTTATTCAAGGATGTGGCTGATGTGAGATGGATTTTTCCCGCACATTTATTTAAGTAACACATAAAATATATATATTTTTTTATTCAAAATACACATAGACATTTTGTTTAGGTATATTTACCAATATTGGACGATCACAGATCCAACTTGCCGCGGTCCAAATGTGGATTGCTGCATTAGGAGATTACTAAGCCCCGTTTATACATGGTTAGCAATAGGCGTCAGTGCTGGGACCGAAAACTGACCGCACTGCCCACTCAGTTATGAGTCAACACTTAGTCGTTGTGACTTTAGGGGTCAATTTACACTAGATAAGCACGGATTGCTTCGGTTTCGGAGTCATCAGTTGGCGACCACGTGTCTAAACATTACCAACCATTAGGAGATATTTCGACTGGTCCGCTCATGACTAGCGGTGGCGCGGTGTATGCCTCCAGCGCTTGTTCCGTGAGACCTTCCTGTTCCAGCTTCTCCTGCTTGCGTTGATAACGCCACGCCTTCTGCAAATTGAACCGCTCGGGCCTGGAAATGACAAATCCATCTTTTAAGTCAAGTGTATACTGTCTATTTTTAAACATAGTGAAGAAGAACAAGTTTGAAACATGAGATATGATACAATATATACGTATAATAATAAAAGTTTAGCTTTAATTTAGCAATCTTACTGTTTATTTACATGAGGATGGCATAACAGCAAAACAAGAGTGTCGTATTGTTTCACAAGTTATTGCGAATACAACACTGAGATAATGTTAGTTTACGGTGCCAACTATGACGCCGGTTACTTGCCTCGCATAAACTCTCCTTTAAGGAACTAGCATTTTTTGAAAATTTTATGAACTTACTGCTCGCCGTCCTTGTACACCTTCGCCTCAAGGTTACGTATGTCGTGTCTGATGTCAGCGAGCAGCAGCAGCATGAGATCTAGGGAGCCCTTAGGACCGCGTGCACCGCGGGGCCCGCGGGGACCTGCGTCGCCTTTGGGGCCCTCCATACCTGGGGCACCTGCTGGGCCCTGACAAATAATTCAATATAATTAGCGATGCACAAATAAGTTTGCGAACAGGAGAGTTCACTTAAATTTTGCAATTTCTTAGTGAATTAGTTCATTCTTTCAGTTCTTCAGCTTTCGTCGCGAACCAGAAAACGTCACTCTGCTACTGATAGGTACTGAACGGGACACGTTATTTTGTTGTTAGTTTCGACTTTACGTTATAAAGTGGATGACGTTTTCCCTCTAAATGTTCACAAATTAGTTCGCGTAGTTCATCCATGAGAGCATTATAATGACTTCGTTAGCAACCTAGATAATAATACTGCTCGATTGTGATCCATCAGTTAGAACGTTACTATCTAACTATTTTCACATAAATTTTATCTCGTAAAATAAGTAATATTTACCCTGGGACCTCGTTCGCAACGACAAAACCCTCCTTCTAAAGGTGCCGTGGAGTCTAGCACTCTGTACATAAAGGTGCCTTCTGAAAAGCGATCACCACCTGTAAAAGCATTATCTATTCAATAATTCATTAAAGCGCTTTCTAATTTCTATATTAATATAAGAGCAGGAGAAGGTCTTCATTGGTTAGGTAGTTGTGATCTGCCTAAACGTAACTCCCAAAAATCTGTGGAAATAGTCTCAATTTTACCCTATAAAGTCACAGGGGTAGTTTCGCTTTTGTGGAATGAAAATCAGTGTTTAGACCAATAATTAAGACAAATAGGTCACACATAGCTGTTATGTTCATTAATCAAAACTGATGAGCTCATATAATATCTATTTTAATCACCTTCTTTGAAAATCGGATGTTCGGTGATCTTTTTGAGTGTGGCTTCAGTGGTACGTAATTGGTCGCTCAGCTGTTTCACTCGTCTGGATAGCCAGGATACAGTGTCACATGGTGCGTAACATCGCGACGACGCCCTTATCAACGGCAGAGGCTCCTGATGGTAATCACAAATTAAAATTGGGTTAGAACAAACATAAATCACTTGCTACCTAAAAAGATGTTTCAAAAATTAAGATAGATAATGAAGTTACAATAAGTTCTACAGGCAGGAAAGATTTACCAAAACAAAAGTAATAATTCTTCGATATTAAAAGTATTTTTGTTTGTTTCATAGTCCAATTACAGAACTGTTTGATTTAAAAAAAAATCTCTTTTATAGAGGCTCTGTAAGAATGTAATGAAGTCGGAAAAATAAGAATGTGCAGCAAAAAAATAGGAATTATATTCTTAATGAAAAATGTTTAAAAAATCTACTTTGTCCCTGGTATCGCATCGTACCAGGGACACGGTGGATTTTTTAAGCTATTTTCCAGCATAGCATTGTGAATGCAAAATTGATTAAATATAATAACAATGGAAATAAGTTCGGCAATGATCCATAAAATTGTCTATTTAGTGGACTGACCGGTAAGGCTATTGGTACAGATTTCTCACAGCTCTTGCCGTCTCTCGGTGACAAGGTTAGAGGGGAGGTGCATTCGCAGTGAAACCCACCAATGTCATTCACGCAGCGATGCTCGCATCCACCGTTGTTGTTGGCACACTCGTCTACATCTAACGAAAATAAAGAATATGTTTAAGGATAGCAACAGCCACATGCCGGCACTTCCAGGTCTTACAATATGCTGATCGAGATTAAGTTACTCTTAGCTGTTCATCCCTCCATGAAACACGTGTAGAGTAATATATAGTTGTAAAGTTAGTCGTATATATACAGTGGCGTAGCTACCAAGGGGCTAGGCGGGGCAGTGCCCCGGGGCCCTTATTCAAAATAAATATGACAGGTGACAACTCGTGTTGCAACAGTTGTGAGAAATTCCAAAGTTATAAAAAGGGAATTCTCCCATATTATTTGTGTGGGTTGACAGTGTTATTAATGTTTTCATCAATTTGTCGGATATCAATATCTGCATATTATTATTTATCGATATGCGTTTTTGTGATTCGCGATTGTGAACTTCGAGGCAAGATTTTTTTTTGAGGATGGTTAAAAAGTTAATGTTTCAGGAGTAAGCAAGCGTATCTCAATAATTTTTTTGTACTGGTCCATATAAAAGTTCAATTTTCATTTGATTATAGTACGTATACATAGTTACGTAAAGAAATCTATAGATTTTGGCTACTCACTATATAATTCAAAATACCGTGAAAAATACAAGTCACATGCGGTAGGGGGCCGTCCATTAATTACGTGATGTTTTTTTGGCATTTTTTAAACCGTCAAATACAGTAACACTGGCGGCGATAAAATGTTTGCCGGGATTCCCCAACGACGTCTTGTTCGTATCATTACGTTTCGCTTTCCTTTTACTTGTAACGTTGTAAGTGAACAATGAGTACCTACTTGAGTACAATCTTACATAAATATTTTATAAATAAATTAGAAAACTAATATTATGGACAAAAAAAAAAGAAACCCAGTAGTGCATTTAAATGCAAACAACGCCAAGAAAGAGAAGAAAGTAAACAAAAATTGCCCAAAATTGACAAGTTTTTTAGTCAGCCTTCTGCAAGTACTTCTGGACCAAATTTTTCTATTCATATTTTTTGTAAATAGCTTGCATGGCGATAGGTAAAATAACAGTAAGCTGGTGCAGCTTACTGTTATTTTTATGAATAAATAAATATATAACGGCGGGTAGTCAGAAGGTGCTATTGCGAAGCCCAAATAGATGGTCCATATCGGACGACTATCTTTAAAAATAACACTGCAGGCGTGTATACCAACTTGAATTTTTCCATTTTATTACTTTTCGTACGAAAATATAACGAGATGAGCGTGATCTCGTCGGGTGTCTTTACTCCTCGGCGATCGGAAACAGAATGTGTGCCAAAAATGGCGGCAATTAACTTTTGTTAAAGAACTGTCAAAGTTATTGTCACCATTCTAATAAAATTAGAAGTATCGACGATCACGCTCTCTCTACAATTGAGTAATTAAGTAATCGAGTACTAGCAATTTAAAAAAAGTAACTAAATCAAGCGGTCTTCGTAAAGATGATGCGACATATATAATAAACCCTTGAATCGTTTTATTGCCCAATACCTACACCAAGAATAAAAAAAATTGTGATTTATGTTGTAAGTGCTTAATAGTTTTATTACCTGCCCATGCACGAAAAAGAGCTGATGATAAAGTTGCTTAGCATTTTTAAAGTATTTGTATATATATGATTTTACTTCAAAAACCTTACCAGTTTTGATAGCAGTGGGCCCCATTTTTTTATTTGCCCCAGGGCCCTAGGTTACCTAGCTACGCCACTGTATATATACATAATATATGCTTGTTCGCTTCGAGTTGGTGGCCTGATCCCTCCCGCTTCATTGACATTGATTATCTATGGTTCCAACTAATATGACGCATTATATAATAACAATATAGTGAGTCTTGTTTCAAAAATCACACTGTGTAAGATACAAACAAACCCAATAGGTGTTCATCTCACACACGCTCAGAAGGGATCGGGCGTTTTAGATATGTGTGGACGATATTTGCTGTGCTTCGAAATTAAGTCTTCTGAGCAGGCTCAGCCACATCAGTTCTATTTTACTTTATTCTTAGTGATGCGTGTTGTTAACATTTAGAACAACAAGTGTTATAGATATCTGAAGTGAATTATAGATATTTGGTCCCGCAAGATTGCTGGTATTTTACAAAGTATCCCTGTATAAAATTGCTAGTGTACTGATCTCATCTTTATTTAGCTGTTATAATACTAATCTTGATAACGTGTTACAGGCATCTGTCGGCTGGTAGTTTATGACACAAGGAAATAGAACATTTCAACGCTCGGACGTGTTGTAACGTTAATGTTGACAGACTTGTTTATTGTTTATATTTTCAGACGTATACCACCCATTAAGTGAGTCTTTCGCCTGATAAGAAAGAGCGGTCATGAAAAATGTCCATTTTAAAAGAGCAATGGCATTGATAGAAATTATTTTATTACTGTTAAGAATTACTAATAATGTTTAACGAACAAATAGCATACAAAATGTTTTATCTTAAAAAATAACGAGCTAAGGGTACCTACCCAAATTTTTAGTAATCTTGTCAGAGTTTTTTTCGTATTTTTCTTAGCATAACCTTTCATTTAAAACTCATATTAGTTAACCGTATTGTCATCTAAACTAAACATCATGTTTTTCAACTTAATATATATCTAAATAATTACAAATTAATTATCTACTCACATTAAGCATTAAGTATTGCAAAATACGTTGCAATACATATAATTTGACAAAGCGTGATTTTACATTCTATCAAATTTGAAATTATGGGCACGAAAATGGGTGGAGGCGAAGAAAAATTAGGCACTCTTACCTATGCAGTAAGGTTGCTTTTTCCTCCGATAGTTGTGGTCATGAAATCTGAATCCCTTGTGGCATGAGCACCAAATTCGGTCGCCACGCACGTCGCACGCCTGTTCGCAAAGCCGCAAACTGCATGGGTCCAGAGTGTTGGGAATGCAACTGAGAAAGAATGTTTATTTGTAAGAGATCTTCTAAACGTAGAGTAAAATATAATTATAATCTTCTGTATGTAAGAATATAATAAGTTTTGGGCAAGTAATAGTTTCTGAAATATAGTCTAAGTACTATCGATTAAGTTAGGCATGGAGCTTGCACCAAATTACTTTTCTAGATTAGGCAACTGCTACTTGTCATCAGATTCTTTTTATCTTTCATCAAGTTTATCACAGTGATCAGACAGGTAGTCCCTTTAGAAGACTATAATGATTCATGCTATCACTTACCGTCCACCAATATATGTGTGTGTATCACAGCACCGTAACCTGATGCATTGCACGTCTGCGCCAGCCACACGGCAAGTCTCACGGGAGCGTATGAGCCGGTCAGACGGGCAGGCGCTCTGATAGTCTTCTCTGAAATAGTTATTATCATCAGTTTATTAATGTTGGGGTCATTAAGCTGCTGGAGCACAGGCCTTTCATATGGATGGGATCGAACAGGGAGAAAAAACCGTACGTAGCCTTCATCAGCCATCTGTCACCAAACCAGCATTTGCAGTAAGGAACTCGAGACAATAATTTTTGGTGCACCTATTCTATGGCCGGCTAAAGTAATTTAATCTCGGCAACACAATATCATAACTATTATCCTGTGGTATGTGACGACCTCAGTGGCCAAGGTCTCAATTCTGCTACTTTTTAGGTAATAACAATAAATAAAGATAACAGCATCTCGATAGTCTCAATAACTTGCATTTTGCCTTTGTATCTACCTGCACGCGTAGTATGACGAACTCGAGAACGTTTTGTCTACATTCAAATGTCACCTTTCTCGGGTGCGCCCATACTATATCTCAATCTCGACCCGAGAAACTGACAAATGAGTGTAGACAAAGCGTTTCTCGAGTTTGTCATGCTACGCGTGCTGAGTCCAATATTATTAGTGCAATGTCTTTCTCGCAAATCAATGGTGACAAATAAATTATTATTTTGTAATTTTGTAACAAGAACTGTGTCCTAAAGGGTTGAAGTGCTATTGATTTTCTATAATTACGCTTACATTAGCAGAGTTGCCCTAAAAGTCGCTTACATTCTCGTTATCTCTAAAAATTCGAATTCGATTCCCAATCGGGTGAATGTAGGAGACAAACTTTTTTTGTGTCTTTGGTCTGGATTTAATTCAAATTTTAGGGAAAAGGGGTTATTTTATGTAACATTATGACTTTGCCATTCTGTAAAAAAATCTGCCTCGAACGCAATGCCGAGCACAACGCTGTACATTGCAGATTAGAGGTTCAATCAAATAAAACTGCATTCCTATACTGCACGCCCACACTGTATGAATGATACTGATTTTTATCGTTTTTAAATAAGGCTATATTATTTATAGTTCATTAATTCCTAGGTCGTAGCTGTAACCGAGTGGCTCAAACGCCGGTTTGAAGTCGTCACTATCTCTGAGGTTCTGGATTCAATTTCGGGCCTCGTCAATGTGAAAAATATAATTTTATTTGTATCAGGTCTAAGTGATGTGTTACCTTCGTTGTTTTAAACCACTATACAGTACTTTAGCCACTTAATTTGTAATCTGAGCAATGTTCACGATCAAATTATTCGTGGTCTGGAGATATCAAAAATCTGCAAGCGTGTATGTAAGACCTATTAATGTCAAGGAAGTAAAAGTTTAATCGATGAATTTTAAATAACATCATGATTTGTGTAAATCACTGCTTGACAAGTCCTTTTGTGACTGCAAATGATCTACTGTTTTGTAATTTTAATTACAGAATGCAGCCTCATTTGATTAGTTACACCATGAAGTAAGAATAAATACGACTTGCGATGCAATAAAAGCTTTAAACTTTGAACATTACCACAACTATATTTAAGTAAGCTTACCACGTTATTCTTGACTAGAAAACAAAATGTACACAACGTTTAATTCTGTATTATTAAATAGAGTATGAACTGATATTGGATTAAATCAAATGTAATTACTTTATATAACATCCAATAGCGTTGAGTGTATTTGGATTGAATTCGATGTTAACCAAATGTTAATTGAGGAAAGAGTTGACATTTGTTTTTTTTTTTTGTTTGTTTGTAACATACTAATAAACTTAACATATACTATCAAAATTTTATAAATTCTATAAGCTAACAAAAAGTTTATGGTTGCAAGTAGGTACCATGATAACTTGTTTGCCTTGAAGGCTCGTTATAATAGAAAAAAATACAGGTAAAAATTCTACGACAAATAGCACTTTGTTCCAGGAGCCGGGATAAAGGGTCTGTCCTACTATTTATATAGGTTGTGTAGTGCAGTGAATATATGCTCTTATTGATCGCAGTCGACGACCTTTGCATGTAGCTCATGTTACCCTGGTTCATGTTAAGCTGGTGAATATTTTAAGTTGTCCATTTTAGGCAAGTAAACAAGCAAATAAAAATCAGCTTGAAAGATATACTTATTATGGTCAACAATTTTAGAGATACAGCACATTTTTCCAAGCAAAGTAATTTTTTATGCAAATCTGTGCTTGCTTCTACGGAACCCATCATGAGCAAGTCTGACTTGCACCTGAACATTTTTTTATATAGATTTATTATGTTTTTGTCGTTAATGAACTTTTTTAAAAAAATTAAAACGGGCTTTGAAAAATCTTAAGATTTTCATTATAGAATATTAATATTATTTATCATATTACTTATCTTATAAGCGGTTTATAAATATTCAAGAAAATTATCTTGAAGTCGGGTGGTATCACAGACATCTGTAACATCTTAGATGTCTGTGGGCGGTATTAATAATAAATAATATATTTAGAACCTCCGTTTTGACTACGTGTAAGTAGTTACATGTTAGGTAGTAACAACAGTTTTAGATTAGTAAAACTTTCTTTCATTTGGAGATTGGGAACTGAAGCACTTACACTAAGTACAATAATATATTGTTTTATCATAATTTAATTAAGTATATGAAATAGTAATATCAACTATCACACGAGCACCAAATATCACTTTAACACTCACACATCAATGGGGTCTTCGTGGTATTCCTCAGCATAATATCCTCCCTGGTCTTCTACCGAATGTACTAGGATCATAGAGGTTGCTAAGAGTATAGCACAGGCTACGGAACAGGCCGGCGCGCGCATCGCGACTGCGTTACAACAGAATGCGTTTGCACAGTGCTACTCAAACTTTGTAAAGATGTGTTATTCTATTGAACAACTAGTGCATTAGATAAATGCGCAATATTCGGGCGAAGTGAAGCAAATAAAATTATGGATGAACATATTCCAACTGTGTACAATGTATAATACACCTACCCTTGACATAGCTACTTTATTTACTATTTTCCTTTTAATAATTTATAAATAACTAGTGGACGCCCGCGACTTCGTCCGCGTGGAAGTCGGTATCCCGTGGGAGTGAGAAGTTTTCCCAGTAAAAAGTACCCTATGTGTTATTCTGATGTATAACCTATATTGCTGTAAAGTTTTATCCAAATCCGTCCAGTAGTTTTTTCGTGAAAGAGTAACAAACATCCATACATCCATACTTACAAACTTTCGCCTTTATAATATTAATAGGATTTACCGATAGATTATATCAAAACTAAAGTAGAATTACCTAAAATTATGTAAAAAACCAACTCAAATACGTTATAACTATCTATAAGAAGCTTGATTGTTCTGCAGCAGTAGACTGAGTTAAGCAACTTTTGCATGGACATATTCCAATTGCAATTTAAAAAACAGTGAACTTATTAGGCAGTATTATCTTGATATATTTATATTGACTTTTACTTTTCTGCTATGAAAATAATATGTACGAGTATGATGTACAGAAATCAAAAGTTTGGAAGCCATTGAGTAATTGAGAAGTGTAACGCCAAAAATAGCCGCATCTTGTGTTACGTAGGGTAAACATTTATTTTAGATTTCAGGGACGGTACTGTTTATGGTGTACTGTGACTTTGTTTTTAGTGTATTGAAGACAAATCTGGTTTTTGCGCGCTGAAGTTTTACAGCTAAAATATAAAGTTTCACGAAAAAGATGTATCAATTGTGCATAACAATCACATTTTAAACAATGATTTTTTTAATAAAATTCCATAACGTTAACAGTTTTTTTTACCCGACTGCGCGGCGCAAAGGAGGTTAATGCATTTATCAGTCTATGTATGTATGTATGTGTGTTAGTTTCTATGTGGCGTTCTAGAGATCAAATGCGTAGGCCGATTTTGATGATTCTTACGTCAATCGATTCGTCTTAACCTTGCAAGTGTCACTAAAGACATGACAGTAATTAAAATTCACCATATTGTCTAAATGAAAAAAATAAAAATCGATGAACTATGACAAGTGGGGTGTCGTTGAATGGGTATTTTAAAATCATCTTTAGGTTCCTTTTATCATTTTTCATTTTAAATAGTTGTTTAGGATATATAACGATTGAAAGTTGTTTAACAAATCATTCTCGCTAATTTTCTTACTTATTGATTAAAGTTTTATTTAAAGTATAAACGATATACAAACAAAAAAAAAACAGTGAAAAAGCATGAAGAACAAATATTTTGGTAAAAAAATAATGCATATGTAGCTTTGAGCTGAGTTAGGTCTCTAGAGGGACTAATTATCAGTAGTTTAGACCACCGCAAGTTACTTAATAATCCCCACGATATTAACTCCCTCAATGAAATAACTTGATTGCGAAATTTACCATCCTATAACGAAGTCATCCCGACTGCGTTAAAACGAATTAAAAAAAATACATGGATGAATTAACTTAAATAAAAACTAAAAAGACAGAAACAAGCCCAGTAGTTTAGAATTCTGTTAAGTAATACAGAACAGAACAACTCATAGTCGGGGCCCATTCAAATTTTACCAATCAAATCTTCCCAAGGGGTGAATCATTCTGTTCTGTATTACTTAACAGAATTCTAAACTACTGGGCTTGTTTCTTTCTTTTTAGTTTTTATTTAAGTTAATTCTTTTTTCTATTAAAAACTTGCATTTTTATTCGTATTTATTATGTTTATATTTTAATAGCGGAATTAACATACCAAACTCGTAAATATTGTAAAGTAATTTTAAAATCTATGGTTACCCTGATATGTAGATGGATATGCGTTGTTTACAGCAGCGATGTGCGGGCGCAGGGGCTCATGGCCTCGCTTGTCCTACTAACACATTACTGCATTGCTTCAATTGCGTAACAGGATTATTGAATATTAACTGTTTTTCCGCGATTTCGCTCGCGTAAATTATAGCCTATGCTACGCTCGTCTGATGTAGCTTCCCGTGGGCGAAAGAATTTTTTAAAACGGTCCGGTAGTTTTGGAGCCTACTATATAGAGCCTCACCAACAGACAATCAAATCTTTATAATGTTAGTATTGTACAGGCGGTACATTTAATCCGATGTTTCACTTCTTTCTTGCCGATACCGTTTACAATTTACAATATAATTTTAATTTAAAAGATAAATTTTGCAAATTAACTTATGCACGCATGATGACAGGATACAAAAAGTCACCAGTATCCTTACGAACTTTAATTTGCTAGTTACAAAACGTTTGATGACCTTACAGGAATTTAGATTTATAACTGTCATATACGACGGTTAGTAGGCCAAGCATGACTTCAACATTTTCAAGGTTCGATTTTCGATTAAGAAAAGAAAATGTTAAGTTTGAATTTGTTTTATCATCTCAAGGGCTCAATTACACTGGTCGATTACATCCGCGTGCGGTGTACAGATAATTTCTGTAAGAAAAGATACAAATTCAACGCTCCGTCAATGAGATAGATAGGGACAGATGACGGTGTACTGTCCATCAAAACTATTTTTAATTAATTAAACACGATATATTACGATTATTGTAAAAGTTCTCCATAATATTCTCGGCTACATATACGGCTTGAAGAATGTTCTTGGCTATTGCGATACAAAAAAGAATGAATTTTAAAGGTAATTTCATAATTTATGACTTCCGTAGTTTTATTATATGATTAATAAATAAGTTAAGCGTAAATTATGAATACGAATGGTGAGTATTGCCTTATTATTGTAGAAAAAAATACAAAATAATTCTACGAAAGTTTAATGAGGAGTTTTAAGCACGCCAGGACATGAAGTTCATTGATTTTGTTATATCAAAATGATGAACTTCCGCTTGATAACAGCACGGGTGCCGACGATTGTCGTCTCTATATATACCCGGTTAAATGTGATTTTAGGTACGATCGATAAATACAGCATATGTTTACATTTCTAAGGCACATACTACATTGCTTGATAAACTAACCAAGTTAAGCAGATAAGAGCGAATATAATTCTGAGTTGAATATTACCTAACCTAATCGTAATTTTAACATATTTAGTATTATCGAAGAAAACAAAATGATCGCGTATTTATACTTATATAAATTTTTATATTTAACGTGCCTTCCGAAGCATATGTAGAAGAGAATTTTTTGGACACCCATCCTATAACCTTTGCAAGAGTTGCATGCTAACCTATACACTATAGAGTTTGTATATGTATTTTTGTTAAATTAATTAATTAAGTAATTATATGAAATACTATATTCCTACTTATAAAGTTCGTAGTGTGATATCAGCTTTAGATCTGATGACGTTTATTGGACATTACGTCAAAACACAAGATAGCTGTTTTCGAATTCTATACAAACGTTATTTTTTAAATAAAAACGAGTTCAAAAAGTGAACAATACAGATAGCTTAAACCTGGTAGATACATATCGGTATTGTTTTGTGTAGGTAATAGAAGTTTACTGAAAGCCCCATTTAGTTTGCCCTACATGGCAACTTAAAGGAAGTGACGTACTTCCTTTGAGTTGCCGTTTACGCAACTTTTCAAACGATTAATTTTGGATATATCATCATCACCAGCCCTTTCCCTGAGCAGTGGGCTGGTGATGGTGATATATCCAAAATTAATCAAATCAAATCGAATAGGGAGCAATAAACCCACCACTCGGGCCCCTAGTCGGTACCAACAGCTTAACGTATCGTTCGAAGCACGGAAGAGCTCGAGTTTTTATTTTTGGTCACCTATCTTACGCCTGGCCATTGTGAAAGTTGCTTAACAACCGTATCGAAGACTGAACGTGTCAGCCACTGCTGTATCGAGTTCCTTACGTACGTAAATACTTAATACCTTTGGATACATAAGTAATATTAATAAGTAATAGACAACATTACATGCATGGTTCAGATCTCAAATAGACTAGCTAAAGTACTAGGATTATGGAAAATTTAAACAACATCGGTATCATAACATCCAGATCAAAGAAAATATAGAGCTGTTTATTTCTTAAATTTATCTGATTGGTAATTGAACCCGGGACCTCAACAATGACTCACCTTCAAACCGGCGTATCTTGAAGCGACTGTGCTTCATTAGTCGTGAAATAGAAAATATCAAGACAAGTTTTTGCAAGATTAGGTAATATGTTTTACTTATTTTATTACAAAACCAATATTTTTTTTAAACTAGATCGCATTTAAAATATTTACTTAAGCTAAGCTTTAACGGATTTTTCTTAGATCACAATAATTACAGATAGAGACAGACAGTGATAGAAGTTGTTGACAATATACGGGTGCTCATATTTCTTTGAATTAATGAATCAATTAATATTAAACAACATTAGAAAAATTTTTCAGATACTAAAACAATTGCAAACTCGCGAAATACAGAGTCCATTTTTACACAAACCATTCAAACGGTGACATCTTGAAATCGGAATTACATACCTATCATACTTACTTTCCACCAGTGGCTTCGCCCACGTGGTTTTCCCATTTAGTACGTACTCACAGATGCCACACAGACATATCAAGCGATATATAAGTTACAAGCTGTTCAATTGTACTATTTTTTCCGTATAGGGTTCCATACCCACAATGTAAATCAGGAACGTTATTACTAAGACTTCGCTGTCTGTCTGTCACTAGGCTGTATCTCATGAAATAATAATAATACACTTTATTGCACTCAATATAACACAAGTTACAGGAAAATAACAGTAAGAAGAAACAACACAAACGGCGGCCTTATTGATATGCAGCAAATGTGAAAGACAGTTGAAATTTACACAGTTGATGTATTTCTGTTGCCGTTTTAACAA